TATAAATTAATAAATATATATAGTTACAGCAGTGTCGTCTATATTGGGTGGTAAAATTAATGGGACACGAACGGAATTACCTTAAATGTTTAAAATAGGCAATTTCACTTAAAGGAAACGTATTATTATTCTAAACATTAATAACTGCATTCACAGATTTTTCAAAAAGCTTAGTTGAGTTCTTAGGTTTTCGCGATTGTTACACATAGGAAATGAAACTGTTTATCCGGATTCGCGTATATTTGCTTTTTCAAACAAACCGACGTTTCGGGTCCCATGGTCACCGGTTGAAGACTGTACCACCTCAGTCAACCGTGACCATGGGACCTGTAAAGGGACCGAAACGTCGGTTTGTTTGAAAAAACAAATATACGCGATTTAAATCCGGATAAATAGTTTCATTTCCTAAGCTTACTTAAGTTGAGAATCGAACCAATTAAAAATACAATAAAATGAATACTCCATTTTATTGTACTGTACATCATAAGGATCAATGATAAGGATAAAGTCGCTAAAAATCTCGCACGCCTTTTTACTAACATCATAAACAATAACTTTTGCTCCATAACTTCTTACAAAACATAATAAATTCACCAAAGTTAACTTATACGTTTTTGTTGTACTGACACTTTTTGATATGTATTTGGTATTTAAGTTGTTTAGCAACGCCTCACGCGTGCTTTCTTTTTAACCGACTTCAAAAAAGGAGGAGGTTCTCGATTCGTCTGTTTGTTTTTTTATTGTATGTATGTGTTACGCGGTAACTTTGTGAACCAATTTTGATGATTCTTTTTTTGTTGGAAAGAGGGTACCTCAGTAGTAGTTACATTTGAATTTGAAGACAATATTCCACCTCTGAGGGTGGTAAACTAGGGGATGAATCCGGTTTCGCGCACTTTCCGGAAACCGTTTTTAATGAAACTTGGCAAATAGATGTAATTGCATGAACTTTTACGGTTTTTTAGTACCTTGTACTGAGATTATTTGAGTTGTCACTATTTAGAGCGATCTGTTTAAATATTTTACCTGCAAACATATCATGAAATCCCCTTTGATGTGTTCAAAAACCGCAAATTACGACCAGCATAGAGATAAACTGTTTTGTTAGAACAAATTTCCTATCTGTGAAAATGTTATTATTGCCTAATAATAGCATCGAATTTGAATTTGGAACATCTCTGAAAAACAAAACAATTTTCAAGATTCTAATATCAGTCGAGATGAAGTTTTATTCGAAATGAAACGTTAATAGCAAACAATTTTCACAAATTTCATACGCTACTTGATATCGAACGATATGATAGTTCGGACCGGCTCTAGTTTTGAAATATCGTATTTACACGCAAAAAGTACTAAAATCGGCCACAAATCATCCACCTGTTCTCTCCAGCCGCAGGGGTGTGATGGACTAATAATAAGAACGAATTATGAAGCTTCCAAAATGCTTCACTTGTGACATGTAGTGTAATTAGTAACGACCACCGAATTCCGCGAAAGCCTGAGACACGTAGCAATCTTGGTATTTTGATAAAACTATTGTCTCGTTTATTGTGAAATTCAGATTAAAAGTACGGTCATCTAATTTGTTATACGTGAACCAAAGTGTAATATTCGTATAAGGTTTCAATTTTGAAAAAAATGACACTTTGTGTTGGATTCTGCATTTGGGACACGCCATCGTTGTCAGGTTTTAGACCTTTCGGATTTTTTTCCATTAGGTCTGAAAGGTTTATTGGGAAGATTTTGAGCTCTCCAGTTAGCTTTCGACATATATTATACTCTTTTTTTTTGTAGATTTTTGTTTTGATAAATAAGTGGAGTTTAGTGCACACAGAAAATTGCGGCTTTGGAGAAATGCCCACATGTGTGTAGATAAACTACTATTTATTTTTGTTCGAAAGCAATATCTGACGAATTTTTAAAAAGTAATGGAATAAAAGTTTATATTAATGATGTTAGCAATACAGTCCTTCGCGAGGTTGTTAGTATTTTATAAATAACACTGTATTATGTATATAAACCAATATCGACGTAAGGGCCACAAGGTACAGTCACAGTCGTATGTCTTGAAAAGGGTTTCAGATCTGCAACGAACAAGTACGGATATATGACGACGACAAATTTATTCATTTTAATTTTATCATATATGTAACATTTTTCAGGTATTATTGTAACAATGTACACTCTTATCCACGCAACACTGGAAGATGATAGTAAAGTGTGGCGCATACAAATGAGTATTCCAAAAGTGCTGATGAACCTCGCTGAAATCACAGGGCTGGTCGACAAAACTGCCGCACGAACGCTCAATTCGGATGTGAACCACAATACTGTGACGATAGAGGTATCATCATCATCATGGCGGCCGTTTTGTTATCCAATCTTGGATGTAGGCCTCTTCCCTCTTCTTCCACTCTTGGCGATCTTGTGCCCGACTCGGATGAGTTGGACACAAGACACAGTCCTGACCTCCGTGTCGTCGGATGTCGTCCATCCAGCGCTGCGGTGATCTGCCGCGCCCTCTGATAGAGGTATAGTATGGGTATCTTCGTAGTATGGTTGGCAATGGTGCTCAGGGTGCGTAAGACGTACAGGAATATAATACTACGTAGTGCGAGAAGAAGGAAGGCTTAGAAGCAGTAGAGCTCCTTGTGACAGAGTTTGTCCAGGAAAGTACTGCCACTTAACCTATTTCTTCCGTCAAGCAGTAATGTCAGCATTACTGTATAGTTCCGGTTTTGAAGGGGTGCTGGTGAAATTACAGGCACATGGGACTCGTCAACTTATGAATCATGGTGACAGGCGAACGTCTTGTTCGTCCCGTCACTTGATATTAAAAAAAAAATGGATTCTCGGCTCTCAGCTCTCAACTCTTCGGCTCTGTACGATGCACGAACGTACCTACTCGTTCATTTTGTTAGATCAGCATATCACATCGACTAACCAGTAGGCATTCGAAAAGAATAAGAATGCCTTTCCACCAGAGATGTGCGACGTGGCGAGGCGGAGTGCGAGGAAAAAATCCACCAATAGGATTACGAGTACTTCATTTTCTTAGCGTTTGTCTTTCGCTTAACGCAGCTCCGGTGCAAAAGGGTTAGCGCTGCTAAGTATTTGTACATACAAAATGTGTGTGAGGGATGCGGGCGAGGAATGTGTGCAAAACGGTGTAGGTAACTAGAGCTACTAAAAGTATGACACTAACTGATACTGACACATTGCCACCGCTCACCCCACCACACCGTACCCCGCCCGCGCATAGCTGAAAAGAATCCGTAACGCATTCTCGCACCGCCTCGCTACCTCGCACATCTCTGGTGGAAAGGCCCCTTAACTGCACACCCGTTCAAAAAGTCACTCGTAAGTTATCACACTCGATCCATCATTTATCATTTTAGCAGTTATTCTTTTAGCAATAACTTCTACACTTTATCGGACTTATATCATTAAATGGTGATTGAACCGAACAGGGTCTATAAAGAGATTTCGATGTTACAGCTGCGGAGTCTTCAACATGACGAAAGTTGTTATCTTTGTAAGTTCTAAAATGTTTCCAATGCCTATTTAACAAGCAATACCAGGAAGCAGGTTTGCTTAATTTGTGTCAGTACCGTGCTCTGTCTAGATATTGTATTATATTTTCATAGAATTTTTTAAAATATGAGTGTGTTTGTTTATTTTTAATGCGTTCCTAAGTGTTAGCCACCCCTGGTAAAATATCAGCAAGGGCTTCATTCATAGAACGATTGAATGAAATATTCTTTATTGCACATTAAAATTATACAATGACAACACAGAACAGTACTGTAAGTAAGTATCACAGAGTAAGCCAATTTACAACAGGCAACCTTAGGATAGAAATTGAAGAGTTGGAAAGTTGGCTGCACCCCGCCAAAGAATATCTTGTAATGAAAGCGTTTGTATCTGCAATTTCATCAGCACCCTTACCTTTCCAAACCAAATGTTCACATTACAGCTTGGCGGCAGAAATAGGTATGATGGCAGTGCAGTGATGAATTTTTATGCAAGGAGCTCTACTAATATAAAACTGGGTCTTTGTCATTGAAAACTTTTCTATGAAACGGTTACATATAAATTTAATCTCAATGATTTTAGATTTAGGGCGCGTTCAAATTAGCCGCTGTTAGAAGCGCTGCAGCCGCGCAGTCGCCGCGCGACAGTCGCGCTGCTGAAAGAAGTGCGACCAAATTTTTAGTGATGTTTTATTTTTCGACTCAGTTAGGCGATGGATTTGGACGACGTAACATTCTTTTACCTAGTTCTTGGGGCACACACATGTAGGTATTAAAAGTGACTCACCTGGCATGTTCTTTTCAGTGGTAGTTTTCAGTTTCTAAATTGTCAATAAATTTGAGTTTGATTTTTTTATCCAGTCGACTGGAATAACTGTCGGAACTACTATCCCATATTGCAGGGTGTTGTTTTACATCTTCTATATTTTTTTCAATTCGATTTTCATCCATCGTGGTTAATTTGATGAATTAACGTGTACACACCTCACTAACCGTGACTGCAGCGGGACTGTCGCGCGGCTGCAGCGCTGCTGCAGCGCGTCTTACAGCGGCTTATTTGAACGCGCCCTTACAATCATTTTCAGATAAAACCTCCAGATTTCAATCAGATTTTGGGTGTCCTATCTGGAAATGGAAGATCAGGAAGAGATGAAGCAGACGTTTCTGAAACTGAAAACAGACATCGTAAAAAAGCACTGATAGAACCAATTCGAGATCATGGTGCAAAATACAAACACGACGGACGAAGGGAAGCACCACATTTCTATGTGGAAGTTGGCCCAGGATCTTATAAATCTGAACAGGTGACATATCCACCTGATTACCTGAAGAACCAATTAATGAAGCTTTTGCGTTTGAAAGAGAAGCGTCAACGCCTTAAATCACTTGAAGCAGCTATAACTGAAACTGGTGCTGAAAATGCTACGGAAGTTTTATCTGAAGGAGAAGTAACAACGGGTGGAACAGGTTGAACAGAAGGAGAATAAATAAAATTGTAGAAAAATGGATAAATAGTCTAATTGCTTTGACCTACTGCTTTTCAAGCAAAGGCCGTGGGTTTGGATCTGGGCTCACATCTCTGAGTTTTTCGGAATTTATGTGCGAAGTCTACCATGAGCTTTTCGATGAAGGAAAACATCGTGATGAAAGACCCGTGCCCAGCAGTGGGACGTATAAGTGGGTTGATGATGATGTAGGAAAAATGGTTAAGCAAAATTAATGTTCAATACCTTATCTTTAATTTATTTTCTGTTATTTCAGCCTAATGAAAGCTTGAGACGATCAAGATAACGCCGCGGCAATCACTGGCCAATTTTGTATTAAAAGAAAATCAATGGAGACGATGCGATTCGATTGCAATACGTCATTTACAGTCACTTACATAAGCATTAGACCAATTATACTAAAAAAGATTCCATTTCTTGAATATTACTGCTTAGTTTTCATTGTTGTTATACATGTTAACAAAATAAAAAAAATTCTTTCGTTTTATTTTAACATGTCGGTGACAGAGTATATACCTACCAAACCTAGAGACATATACCTACCAAAATTCGTCCCCATAATGTCGGTGCTTCCTGATTTCTTTTAACAAAAGATTCAACTATAAAAATCAAATTTCTATGCAAGTCGAGCAGCTTACCTTTGAAACTAAAGTACCGGCACGCTATGATGGCCGTTTTGACGTTTGTCCGCTCATCAAGTTTCGTATTAATTCATAACTACGTTGAAGGATCTAATTAATGTACATTATTGTCAATAGTGACGTGCAGTGATATTTATAGATGCATTTGTTTTCCGAAATTTAAAAATGAAATCTAATACGGTCGTCACTATAGGATCGCTGTCCTGCATAATTTTTACCTCCAGCAAACTCGCGTCTAAGTTCAATGCAAAACACAGCAGTTTCGAATTGACTTTATACTAAATAAACATTTTTATTTTCGTTTTATTAAAACTTTAATCAACTACCCCTTGCAATACTAGTTATAAATCTAAAAACTTATAGATGTGACTCGCATTTGATTATATTTGACCTCACTATTGTAATCTGTCAAAACGGCCATCATAGCGTGCGGATACTGTAGTTAAGGGGCGTTCAATGTATTCTCGGTATAGGTATGAAATAATAGGCAAAAAATTCTAAATAAAATTTATTTTTCAATATAGTCTCCCATAGCCTCAATACACTAATTTGATCGGGCAAATAACTTTTCGATGCCCTCGAAAAAATATTTTTCCTCTGAAAAATGTTCATTAATTGCCTCCTTCAACTCTTCATCGTCGGAAAAATGCTTACCCCGAAGATCTTTCTTTAGGTTTGGGAATAAAAAGTAATCACTGGGGGCCAGGTCAGGGCTGTAGGGTGGATGAGTGATTTCTTCAAATCCACAATCCCTTACAGCAGCCTTGGCAACGCGCCCTGTGTGAACCGGCGCGTTGTCGTGAAGAAGCAAGACACCAGCGGTCAATTTTCCAGGTCTTTTTTCCTTTATAGCGTCCTTCAAATTGCGTAGGCTGTTTGCGTGAGCTGTGGCAGTAATACTTTGACCCATTTTTGTGTATTCGATCAGTGAAATTCCCTTAAAATCCCAAAACACTGTGGGCATGAGTTTTCCGGCGGATGGGCAGACTTTAAACATCTTCGGTGGGTCTGTTCCTTTTTTATGCCACTGCATGGACTCTTGCTTACTCTCAGGATCATAGTGATAAACTCACGTTTCATCACCGGTTCAAAAATTCCACTCGGATTTTCGCTACAGAGCTCCAAAAACCCCTTACTGCACTCAACTCGAACTTGTTTCTGAAGCGGCGTGAGCATTCGCGGCACCCATCTTGCACTGACTTTTGAAAGATTCAGATGTTCATGAAGAATAGTGTGAATGGTACCCACGGATAGATTAGTCTTTTCTGCTAATGTTATCACTCTGATACGGGCATCTTCCAATACAAGTTTCTCGACAATTTTGACGTTTTCTTCAGAAGTGGCACTTACCTGCCCTCCAGCACGGGGGTCGTCTTCAATACTCTCTCTACCCGGTTTAAATTCACTAGACCACTTCTGAATAGTAAATAATGAAGGAGCAGAATCTTGATAAACAGTCACCATTTCTTCATGAATAACTTTTTGAGTCTTTCCTTGTTTTGTAAGGAATTTAATCACTGTGCGGTGCTCGATTTTCGTCAACATTGTGGCGTCTGTCATTGTAGTTGTCTTCTCGTATTGATAACTTGAATACTAATGATGGCAATTACATGAAATTTTATATTTATACCCTTAAAGAGTGTCTTTAACTAATGAGGTAATTAATTTACTCTTATCATTAGTTAATCACCCCGATACCGAGAATACATTGAACGCCCTGGTAGTTGTTTCGCACTCTTGGCGTAATAAGGCCACATCTGAAAAATTGCACTTTCAGGAGAAAGAGGTTTAAAGATTCTGCGAACGAAATTTGCCGATAAGTTTTTATGCTCATGTAGCTCAGGTCCTTGTGAAAGAGTTCATCCAGGGAAGTACTGCCACCTTATCTGTTTCTGCCGCCAAGCAGTAATGTCAGCATTACTGTGTTCCGGCTTTGAAGGTTATGGATGCTGGTGAAGTTACAGGCATATGAGTATTGTCAACTTATGTCTCAGGTTGTTGGACGCAGTGCCCCTCAGATTGTTGGTATTTAAAGCTCTAAGTTGCACTGCAACTGTTATTGACAGGCGTGTAGCTTACCATCAGGCGCACGACATGTTCGTCCCGTCACTTGATATTATAAAAAAAATTAAAAAAAATAGAAATTTAGGAAAGTTACAAAATTTCACTTATACACAACATTCATATTTAAGCTTATATATTTTGTAATCGTAATGTTTTGTTTTTTCTGTATAAGTCTTATTAAGCTGAATAAACGATTCTTTCTTTCTTTCTACCTATATGTTTCATTTGTGAAGCGGAGTGACAGAAACTGTCATAGATTTCTCACAGGAGGCATTACGACAAAAAGTCGATAAAACCATAAACTAAGACCTGCGACGAGCATACAGAGAGATTCGTAAGTCGGGAGAGCGATAGCTGCGGTAAGACGAGGCCGCTGGTGTCAGTCCAGCTGGGTCTTATATCTTATATTACATCTTCTTCGATCTTTATATTAATAATTACAACAAACTAGTGGAGTAATTTCACAAAAAATAATTGAATATCAATTCAATAAAAATTTAATTAGGGGTGTATTTTCATAAAAATAAATGAATATTATGGTAGTAAAAAAATCTTGATATTCAATAAAATAAATGATTTTTCATGTAGTTCGGTTTCTTGTTATCACATGTGGTTTTATTATAATATCAAGGGTATGTTTTTTCTTCTTCTTCCGCAAATAAAAAATAATAATAAAGAGGCTCGTTCATTTTCATTTCGCTAAGAGACGAAATACATTAAAACCGCGAACGAAATTAAAATTTAACAACATTATGTTGAACAAAGAAATGGAATTAAATCTGCATTTTGTCCGCAATAATTTTCAATGCAACCTGCAGCGATAAAAGCTCACTAAGAACACCATATTTTTAGGACAATTAGGGACACTTCTGTTCAATAGTTAAGCATCTTCTTCCACCATATTGAAACGTATAATCAGTTCAGATAGTGGTTAAATGCTTGTCAATACGTTGTAAAAAACAGGAGGAAAGCAGTCTGACATGTTCGTCCGTGGTTGAGTGGCTTGCACAGCAGTCTTATGGTGTCGCTATCTCTAAGGTTCCGGGTTCAATCCCCGGTCAATATTGTCTCGGGTCTGAGTTTTTACCCAAAGCGAGAACCTAGTTTGTTAGTATTCCTCGTATTAATGTTATATCTATCACTATTTTTCATAAAAAAAATGTAGTCAAACTGCATTTTTGACGACCTCTGTAGAGTGGCTGGCACACCGATTTTCAAGGAGTCGCCATCTCTGAGTTTCGGGGTTCAATTCTCGGCTAGACCAATGTATCAAAACTAACTTCTCTATATTATCTCAGGTCTGAGTGTTTGTGGTTCCGTCGTTGTTTCTGATTTCCATAACACGGGGACTTTTGTCCCGGGGTCCGCTTTTCTGCTTTTTCTCCTCCACTTTGCACGGTCTTCGGCATCCTTAGTGGTGAGACCATTGGCACGCATATCACCCTTGGCGACGTCAAGCCAGCACTTCTTGGGTCTGCCCCTTCTACCGGGGCCCGGCGGAGGTGGCATAGCCAGACATTTGTTTCCCACGTAGCATGCCGGTTTCCGTAAGATGTGGCCGTACCAACGTAGGCGGCTTTCTTGCAGTTTATCTGCAATGTCACGGACGTGAAGGCTGTCGCGGATGCGGGAGTTTCTGACACGGTCTTTCCGTGAAACTCTGAAACGGAATTGTTAAAAAGTCTGTTCTATAGAAATTCACTAGCAGTTAGAGCTCTTTGTGAAAGAGTTCGTCCAGCGAAGTACCTTACTTATTTCTGCCACCAAGCAGGAACGTGAGCATTATTGCATTCTGGTTTCGAAGGGTAAGGGTGCTGGTGAATTTACAGGCATATGAAATTTGTTAACTTATGTCGCAGGGTGATGTGCACAGTGGCAGTGCCCCTCAGATCTTCACGATTTAAAGTACGCAGTGGCATTTCAACTGTCATGGACAGGCGTGTCACTTACCATGGGACGGAGGTACGATTTGTTCGTCCCGTAATTTGGTATCATAAAAACAAAGTCTCGAAATTCTTGAGAAAAAAGCAATACCCATTTTGTCCGAAGAAGTCATGTTCTTCAGAAGAAATGGGGTACTACATTGACTTACAATTATATGGACGTCGGGTCCGCGCTAAAAAGTGTCCGCACTTGTAAGGCGCTAAAATCGTATACAGAGCGCCAAACTCCGCTTTAGTCTTCATTTGTTCTACTGACAGCGCGATACTGCGATGACATTACAATTTAAATTTCGAATAGGTTGACTTGGGACATTTTTTTCGTGGTTTTTGTATTAGACCTGTCGTCCATTTATTTGTAAGTCAATGGGGTACTATCAGATATTTTCCAAATGCATAATATAAAAATCACGACTATCAAGAACGATTATTCTATTATGTTAATTGATATAAAAAAATGAATTTATTTGCAATTGTCCTGAGCTTCTGGCAAACCCATACTCACCAAAGTTTAGTGTCGTGCAGGTGTAACTGCAAACTGAGACACTAATGTCATTAGTGTCCGACATTAAGACATCTCCGGAGAGGAGCTGACTTAAAAGGATTTATCTCGGTTCTAACGATATAATCGCAGCATTACAACTTGGTTTCCGTTTTCTGAAATGTGAAATATTACATAGAGCTTACCACCGGTCTGTTTTACTTGAATGCGTATGTATTTTATGTGAATTGGAAAGTGAACATTGAGGAGGAAATGGGAGAAAATATTTTTTGCTTATACATTATTTATAAATTCTGTATGTAATTTTCTTTCAAATTTATTTTGTACAGACCACGATTTAAAACAGGTGCCATACTCTGTCATTGAAGAAATACTCCGGTGTACAAATGATCCGGAAAGCCGACCACGAATGAAAACTGGAACAAGCCGGAAAATAAGGAGGATGATTATTTTTGTTCAGATTCATCAATTTTTTTTTTAAATTACAACTGGAGAAGACGCACTCAGGTTTCAAAGGCTTCTTTCTCCATTAGTCGTCGTATATAATTTTTTTGGCGTTTGTCAGATTGGATTATATGGATCTAAAGAATGGACAGTGGCATCTTTTTATTTATTTCATGACCTTGGATTGTAGTTCTTTGGTCAAAATGTTGGAAATAATAAACATGGAAGTAACATAAAATAATATAAAAAAAAACCGATCTTAAAAGTTTGTGGAGTTACATCTATTTGCCAAGTTTTTTTAAAATCGATTAACGGAAAGCAGGTGAAATCCAATAAACCGGATTCTAATTTACCATACTTAGAGGTGGAGTATTTTCTTTAAATTTGAATGAGGCCACTACTGGCTAGAGGATACCTCCTCTTTCCAATAAAAAAAAAATATCATCGAAATCAGTTCACAAATATCGGAGGAATGGCGTAACATTTTTTTTATCTATATTTATTAAGGAACTTTTATACAACGTATATGCCAGTTCCATCGTACCCTAAGCTATAGCTTACATGTTTGAGCGGCGCTGTTGGAGAGCCGATTCAACAAATAGTCTTAATATACAATTTATAGCAACTAAGGATGTTTGGTTGATCTGCAGGTCTCTCATCAACGCCGCCCTCTGTTGTTCGTACCGGACACATTCCAGTAACAAATGATATGCACCTTCCACTACTCCACATAACTCGCAATTAGGAGAATTGTTTTTTTTTTCATTAAGAAAGCAAAACTGTTTAATGGAACATGTCCGATTCTCATCCTTAGTACAACTATTTTTCTACCATAGTCATGGCGTAACATAAATACATAGATATAAAAGAGCCGAATTGAGAACTTCCTCCTTTTTTTGAATAGGATAAAAATAATACTAATCAACCATATTTGTCGAGTTCTTAGGTATTCGCGATTGTTACACATAGGAAATGAAACTATTTTTCCATCTTAATTCTTTTAGTACTAAGATCCAATTTACTATGGAACAAGAGAATTGTGGTACTTTAGCTTTCTTAGATGTTTTAATTAAAAGAAATCCTAATAACACCTTAGGCCATACTGTATTTCGAAAGAAAACCCATACAGTTAGGTATCTCAATAGTAATTCCCATCACCATCCTAGCCAGTTAGCTACCGTGGGCAAATCTTTGTTTCAGAGAGCACATGGTGTCTGCGACAGTAATCATCTGGCAGGGGAACTTCAGCATATAAAGCAAGTCCTACATGCAATATGTTGAAGATTCCACGCCAATACCGCAGGCCCCGTGTGAAACCGCCAACAGTCAAGCGAAGACCTGCTTCTTCACATCTTACCTTACGTGAGAGGTGTTACAGACAAGATCGGAAGAGTCCTCAAGTGTGCATCTAACAAGACCTATTTCAATTCCCTGAGGAAGATTTCTCAGTTCCTGAGACCCGTGAAATGTAACATCCCCTTACAGGATCCAGAAGTTTACAAGCTTGACTGTGAGTGCGGTCTCTCCTATATTGGACAAACAAAGCGAAGTATTTGTACCCGCGTCAAAGAACATATAACTGATGTCAAACACCGTCGCGTAAACAAGTTTGCAGTCTGCGAGCATGTCATGGATAAACCCATACATTCAATGAAATTTGACAAACCCCAGGGTCCTTGCAAAAGAAGTCCGTTATCTACCCAGGATGCTGCGAGAGGCCATTGAAATTAAAAAAACATCCTAATTTCAACAGGGAAGATGGTTTCTCAGTACCACTAGTTTGGGATCCAGTATTTCCTCTAATGAAAAATCCCAAACAGACATAAGACTGCAGTACTAATTAATATGTTTTAATTTATTCTAATTTCTATTATTAATTAATAATAAATTGAACTTAATAAAAATTCATTCAATCAAATAATTTGTAAAACTTAATGTAGCGTAAATTGAAATGTTTCCTTTGTAAAATTAAAAATAAGGTATTTTAACTATTGTAACTATAGTGAAAAAATAGGGTGGTTTGCATTAATATTAGACACTGGTTGCAGACTGTACCACCTCAGTCAACCGTGACCATGGGACCTGTAAAGGGCCCAAAACGTCGGTTTGTTTGAAAAAACAAATATACGCGATATAAATCCGGAAAAATAGTTTCATTTCCAACTATATTTGCCTGGACGAACTCTTTCACAGAGAGTTCTACCGCTCTATCATGGCCAATTGTGAATTACGACCATAACGCGTAAAATCCTGAATTAGCGCATTAGCGATCGAAGACTGTACATAGGTTGCCGTATTGTTTATTCGAAAATTGAGATTGCCTGATTGCCTTATCTGAATAATGGTACAATCAACAGCCACATTAAATTATAGACTTTTGCTGGAATATCGCCTCAAGAGCACCGGAACAAGGTCCTTCAATGTGCTGCCGTTCGCACAATGCTATTAAGGTACCTATTCTGTCAAAGTAATATCGTCACAAACGAATAATTTAAAGGTGTATAGCAAGAATTTGATAAATTTGATGAGATATTTTTGAAAAAAAAATTGTAGAAGACAATAAAAACAGAAGTACGTTTGGTACCACTAAAGTAAGAGTAATACCTGGTATTTAGAGTGTCGTTGTCCGCATCGCTGGCTATATATGTACGTCAATTTATTTCAATAAAGTTCCCACACTGTGGGCGGCAAAGAGTAAGTAAGGTAGATACTTCTCCCTTCTGCAGTATTTTGAAGAGACAATGTCATGCTGAGATTGAAGTTTAAAACTTTATGCCACTTACTATAAGACCGATTCAAACTTCAATGTTAGTATCGACTCAATTTTTTTCTATCCCAGTAGCATTTGTATAAAAAAACTTAAGATATTTTAAGCCTCGTTGAACATACTATAGAAATACTCAGCATAGAGCTTAAGCAGTAATAAATAAAGATTATAAAAACTATATCTATATTATATGTATAACCGAATTGTACAGACCCGCGTATAATTAAAGAAATGGCTCTTGAATATCTGTCGAATTATATCATGTATGAATACTGTAAATAATAAGTATACCAGCTGAAAAAACACTATATCTCCAAATTACGGAGACTCCCATACATCCTATGTGAGGACATGGAATCAATCATCCGTGTAATTAACCTAAAGTATTTTGGATAAACAAAAAACAAATAAACGACTAAACTAGTTTGAACTAAACAATAATTTGTAATTCATAGACGAATACGAAGGCTGTATTGCATACTCGAGGTTTGCATTCGGGAAACATTTTGCTTTTATTTTTTTTATCAGCAAACGGAGTTTCAAACGCAATTATGTGAACTTTTGCAATTTCAAGTTAAAACACTGCTGTTTATTTCTACTCCGCGGGTACCAACCTGGTTGCATAATACATAACGCATGGACTAACCAAGCTTATAAAGCTACGCCCTCTAACACTTTCCAATAGGCGGTGAGGCTGACCATGAAATGGAATCCGTAGAGACAGATTGTCCACATTAGCATGATCGTCTGGAAAGAGGGGATATAGTAAGCAAAAAGGTACTTTACAAATCGTACATATCTTTGGTATAAGAAAGTCACATGTGATCATACGGCAAAAGTGCTTTCATCACAAGAGAGTCATTAAAATAATACGAACTACATGAAACAAATTACGTACCTATATATGAAGTTTGTACATATGGCGTATTATAAACAAGGATGCGATATGTTGTTCTTGGCCTGATGTATTGTCGTAACTAATATTAAGTATATTTTTTCAGGGCGACGTATTTTTCAGTTAGCATTTCCCATCTTGTTCTGTAAATCGTACAATTTTCGAAATATATATTTTGTTCTTTAAAAAGGTAGACAAACGTGACTGTAAGTGGAAAATGTTCGCTTTTAAAAGCTGAGTAAGAGTGTTAAGTACGGCATTAAGTGAGGAAAAAGATAACATGTACCTAAGATTCTAATCAAAGCTGACCTATCTTCCGAAATATTGGTTTAGTCTTTGCCATGTGCGCATTTGTCGCTCAGGAGGCAACAACTATATTTTTACACACATATTTGCGTGATATATCGGTAATACGTACATCTGTTTACCACATACATCGATGCATTTTTTTTATTTACTTTTTTCGCCTTAACCCGCCTATAAAAGAAATCCCTGGGAGACCCGATCTGTAGTACTGTTTCGTTCGCATCTAAATTAAGACCGTCGTCGCCGCCTGGCCTCGGATCAAGATGCGTCTGCGCACACCATCCGCCCGCACAATAAAAACCAAACGTAGTACATATTATATTTTTCCCTCGAAATCGACTTTTCCGATAATCAAATAAATGAATTTGTGATTTGTGAAAAGAATTAACAAACTGTGTGTGGATTTGAATCTAAAATAAAATGGTGAGTAACAATTTTGTCTTTAGAATGTTTAAAGTGTTAAAAATAGAACACGGTGATCTTGAAATTTAGCTCAGTGTATTAGAATTATTTTACAAAGCTCGCGTAACTGTTCGGAATTCAATTTAAAATTTAATTTTGTTCTAAAAGCAGTTGAAAGTGAAAATTGAAAGTAGCCAGTATTTAATTGGCAATATTTTTTGTTTTTCAGTTAGTGATGTGAAGTAGGAGTGAAGTTCAAAAGATTATCGTGAGAAAGAAAACAAGTTCGTCAAAATGAAGTTCACTATCGACGTGTTGGGAGTATTCCTGAAAGTAGTCATTAAGGTAAAAGAAAATTTTGTTTAAATGTTCATTTTCATATCTTTTTTACACATCGCAAAGTTCATAAGGTCGTCCTATTCTGGCACACTCGTTCGCCCTTCCATCAGAGCGTGACAAAATATTGATCATTTGATTTTGTAACCAATGTGTTCTAAATTGCGAAGTTGATTTTTGTTTATACTCTGTCAATTTGCATTTGACTAATTTATGTTTTGCACCACGTACGTTCATTAAATTAATTAAGTATTATATTTATAACAGAGAAAATACAACGAAAGAATAAACAAAATAAAAGACTATGTAATTTAGTAAACCATGGCACATAAAAAAAAACCATAACAGCGATATTTGAAAATACATTTAAGTTTATTAAAATTAAACGATAATATGATTACTTAATCTCGTACGGAAAATATTTTTATAAAAAGAAATCGAAAAAACTTCGGTACGTCGTTTCTATAAATTTAATCGTCCCTAAATCATTAGTAATGGATGTTCTTTTTGAAAAATACCAGGCTTTGATTCATATCACTTTTTGATCTAAAAACCTTTTATTTTCTCCAAGAGATTGTCGATTCTACATTTCTACGAGCGGATTGCGATGGCTTAAGTTTTTGCTCTTGCAATATGGTCAGGAAATCGCAGTTCTAAGAAGTTTCTTATAATATCCTCTTTAAATATATAGTTTATATAGGTACATACAATAAATTTTATATCGTACATAAAGAATTTGTTAAGAATGGTAAAAAATATCCGAAACCTCATAAAAAGATGAGATACACCAGCGTTTGCATTATGTTGTGCTGTAATTTCATATAGGTCACCCAACAATTATATAAAAAAAAGATATCTTAGTACTTACATGGGAAAATATAAATCATAAAGCTTAGCTCTTAAGTTAAAGAAGACAATGAGAAAAGAAAGCTTAAGCTTACTTTGTTTTTCTTTTTGTTTATTTATATTAACAAGTGATTTATGCTGATAAACAAATCAGCGAGGTCAGCCTACGTAACGTCAGCTTCGGCCAAGGTTAACTTCCGTGTGACGATAGAGGCTATTCACTAATGGTCTATGGCTAAAAATAAGTAAGCCATTTTAATGTTTCGTGTTCCTTTTATTTTGTTATATTTATTGTTTCGTAAGCAGTTCAACGATAAATGTTCAGTTTTTGTATTATTGGAAATGGAACTAATAGTTCCATTTTCCATTTTTTGATTTAAATCAAATAATAAGCAAAAATAATCAAATTTGGGGCTCTGGTTGATGACTGCCATCTCGGTCAGCCGTGACCTTTGGATCTGTAAATGGCCATTTTTTCGAACATCGCGATGTATGTCCGAATAACCTAACCTCCGGTTAAAAAAACCGACCTCAAAAGTCATTCATCCCCTTGTTTGCCACCCTTAGAGGTGGAATATTTTCTTGAAATTTAAATGGGACCACATTTGAGGTACCTTCTTTCCAACAAAAAAAGAATCATCAAAATTGGTTCACAAACGGCGGAAACAAAAACATACAGACGAATTGAGAACCTCCTTCTTTTTTTAAAGTCGGTTAAAAATTAGTTTTGTTTTCAATGTGTAACAATCGCGAATACCCTTCGAGTTTATAACCAGAAATAGAGACGAAATACATCCATCCCTGACACCTCATCAGGCAAATGGGCCTTATATTATATTATTATTTTTTATTTTTTGTAAGTTTAAAGTGTAATCTAGATGGTGAATTGTGTACGGTCAAACCAAAAATGGTTTTTGTTACACCGTTAGCAGCACAAATTTTTGTATTTTTTTCTGTATCTATTTCTTAATAAATAAATAAAAATAAATATCACAAATTAGAAAGCTGAAATAGTGCAGGGCCAACAACTGTGTGTACGTCTCCGTAGATTCCAAAAACTTTCTGTATTTATTGTGATAAAGATAATATCTCTAACAAATGCTCCATTCGGTGGTGTGGCAAAAACAACAAAACATTTAATTACAATGCAAACGAAATCACATTTCGTCGGTAATTAAATATGAAATATGTAATTTTTCAATTTTCGTCCATTATAGCAAAGCTCAAGTTAAAACTGGTCGATTTGAAGTGAAACAATTGGCGACACCCGTCAATTATTTCGAACTCGGGCTGGATATTCGGAGCGCAGTTGTCACAGAAATGATATGGCAGAATAGTTTTAAAACCTAAAAATTCGATCTGATTTTATCACGTTTGTTTCTCCGTCTGTAACAATCACTGTCCTGAAAAAATAATTCTTAAAATAAGCATAGATTATATCAGAACATTTGATTACTGCATAATGAATTGCCAAGTGACGTACTTGTTAAACTTCTGGGTAAACCAGTAAAATGTAAAATAACTTTTAAATCAATGCATTTGTCAAATTGTGAATTTCAATAGTTTGAAGTGTAAGGTTGCGTAATTTGATCATAAGTAATATTAATTCTTTTTAACCGACTTCAAAAAAAGGAGGAGGTTCTCAATTCGACTGTATGTTCTTTTTTTTGTTTTTTTTTTTGTATGTATGTTACGCGATGACTCCGGTATTTGTGATTCGATTTTCATGATTCTTTTTTTGTTCGAAAGGGGTATTTACATAGTGGTCCCATTTCATTTTGAACAAAATCATCCACCTCAAAGGGTGGCTGTTCACGCATGAAGATTCATTTTTATACATAGCGCCTAAATTTAATTTAGGAGCAATTACTTTTAGCAATTATTCAGTTGATTTTGCTATTTCTCCAATTCAAGGAGTTTTTCTCTCGATATACTTTGAGTAGTGTCGTAATGAGAACCTATTTTTATTATCTCCAGTATCAAGTCCTGTATAGTGGCGAACTAGGGGATATTTCAACGAAACTTAGCAAATAGACGTAATTCCACGTACTTTTGAGGTCGGTTTTTTTAGCACCCTGTACTGAGATTATGTTAGACTCCTGACAGCATGTGACGGCAGTGATACATAAATCTTTTAATGGTTTTTATTCGTTGTTTTCTGTTTCTTTTTTGTAAACTTTTTATTTTTGAATACAAAAATAAAAAATATATAAATGTGAAAATATTAAGACCAGGCCTGCATTGAAGGGGGTACCCGCGGTATGGTGCCCAAATTAGTAACAGTGTTTAGTACATTGGGCAAGGTATCTTTCTCCCAGTCTTCGCATGTACATATTGATTACAAGTAATCAGTCAAAATTAGCATGACAGCGCGCGATTTGCGCGAGACTTAAAAAATAATAAAGCGCGAGATACATACGACATATAGAGATTTATGTCGCTCTCGCGCAAGTCCACTTGTTCTGTGCGCAAGTCGCACCCTGTTGTGCTAGCCCTATTGGGGTAATGTAAATGTAAGGACACATCTGAAAAATGACAACTTTCAGGCGAGGTTTGAAAGGATCTTTATTGGCGACTTTGATATTGACCCATTTGATACTTAATTTTTTTACAACATTGTATTTTGACAATATTTAGTTTTTTTTCTGTGAGTATTATAACCTACTAGTTTGTTGAACAATAACGATCTTGTTAGCCTTCGACATTGTATTTTAAATCGTAATATTGTGGTATTAATAATAATAACAATAATAACGCACACACTGATAGCCCACACTAGGGAAACACTGTATCGCGGGTGCCATGGACACACACATAGACAACTACAAATTACACCCAAACTCACGAAAGAAATAAACGTAGGCCATACAAATATTTAACCGGGACCAGGAATCGAACCCAGTTTATCTAACCACTGTAATGCAATTATGAATATAATTAAAGCCACTGGTCGCTCCTCCCGTGGAAGACTGGCATAAGTGTATTTACTTCAAAAATGTTTATTGCTCCATTGGATACTGAGAAATAGACCACCGAAGTTAATAAATAAATAAATAATAAATAACGCACACACTCAACATAGCCCCGCACTAGGGAAACCCTGTGTCGCGGGTGCCATGGACACACACATAGACAACCACAAATTACACCCAAACTCACGAGAGAAATAAATGTAAGCCATACAAACATTTCTCCCGGCCCGGGAATCGAACCTGGGACCTCTGCGTGACAGTCCGGCATGGTAACCGTTCGGCCACGGAGGCAGTTAAAAATAAGAGTTGTAAATTTCTTGATCTCATTGGAGAGTAATCACTGTGGGCGCCAGATGCGTGGCAGTTCAGCACGATCACCATTCGGCGACGGAGGCAGTTGACATTGCTAATGTGAAATTCATTATTGCGTTCTATTCAAGTCGAGCAACTCACCTTTGAAACTAGTTAGTAGTAGCGCACTCTGAGTGTAATAAAACTACATCTGTCGGTTATTTTTTTTATGCTTAAATTTTAACATTATACATAATTTGTTTCATTCAGTTTGAATATTTTTACGACTGTCATTTGATAAAACCACTTATGACGTAGGATCACGTGTTGTTTTATTATATCAAGGATACAAAGTAAAAAATGCATAGGTGTGAATTATTCGAAGATTGTGTGTTTCTGTACACCTACACAGCATGCATAGTTGGCGGTGATAAAAGATGTCTATTTTCTTCGTGTTGCTGTTTCTAATTGATCCCACTGTTTACAACCGAAGCTTACACGGCGAATTAGGATTCTACCCAACTCTAATGACGTTATTTTAGAATTCTAGGAAAACATATCAAATATACGCTTTACTATATAGGAACAGGTTTATAATATAAAACTTTCGTACGGGTACGCTACACGTCTGCCCCTAGCAGTTGCAGTGCCGCCCAGAGATTTAAATCGCAAAGATATCACTGCGCCCGTCGCCTTGAGACATAAGTTGACAAGTCTCATATGCCTGTAATTTCACCAGCACCCTTACCCTTTAAAATCGGAACACAGAAATGCTGATATTACTGCTTGGCGGCAGATTATATTAAATTCAGATGTGATGTGAGGGTTCAGATTTGATTAGGGAGCTTTTTAATAGCAGTAGAGCTCCTTGTGAAAGAGTTCGTCCAGAGAAGTACTGCC